GTGGAATGATTCAATTGAATGAATTGAAGGCCAAATGATCTCCAATTGTTCTCCCCAACCCGTTTGAGAGAGTGATTTTTTTTTTTCATTTTTAATGTTTTAATAAGGCATTTGAATTCATTTGCACTTTTTAAAAAGTTTGGGAATATAATTGCAATTTTTTTTTTTGTTTTATTTAAATTGTAGGGTATATTAGTTATTTTATATTAAAAATTGGTGAAAGTGACGTTTTCCGCAATAAAACGTGAAAATACGGGTAAAAATTCAAAAAATTGAAACGTAAGGACGTTTTACACATAACAAGCCAAATGTATAGACATTTTGTGCTATTAAGCCTTTATAAAATATCTTCAAGGGAAAATTGCAGTAGCGGTATCAAATCTTTCATTAAGTAGCAGATTTTGTCCAAACCTTTTATTTGTGCTACTTACAGTACCAAACCTTTCAAAATGTAGCAGTTGGAGTCCTAGTAGATGAAAACTGTTAGTTTGACCGTTAATTGACAAAAAATCAAAAGTTTAACCAAATGTTGACTAATTTTAAAAAGGTAAAAGTGTAATTTTATATTTTACATATAAAATAACTAAAACAAAAAAATTAATTTAAAAAAAAAAAAAAGAAGAGAAGAAGGTGGAGGAAGAAACCCATCCCACCCCCTAAAACCAAAAATAAAAAACCATCACCTCCGTCGTTTCCCCGCCACACACCCACCTCCACCATTGCTGCAATTTTTCAACTTGCACTGCATTTAATTTGAACTTTAAATAACATTTAAAGCAAAGAGATTGCAGCCACATTCCACCTAACACACAAAAACTTTCAAAAAGTAAAATTCATCTAATCTAATCCTAAATTAATAATTCTCGGATCCAAACCGTACTAAAAGCAAAGGTGTTCCTTTTTACTCCATCAGAAAGCAAAAGCACCATTCTCAACAATAGAAAAACTTAAACAAAAATTTCAAAAAAGAAAAAAAGGCAAAAAGCTCTCTCACTCTTTCAATAGAGAATCCAAAATAAATCGTACCTAGATCTGAATAAAAATCGCGAGGGGAATACAACAAGCTTTGCTTGCCGCCAACAAAACCACGTTAAATGAATCAAAGGGCAACATTTTTTTCTACAATGCTTGCACCTATATCTAATTCTTCCCCAAAATGATGAATGAAGGTGGAGGTGGTAACGAGGCGGTGGTTTTTGCTACCGTAAGTAGCACAAATGAAAGGTTTGGACAAATTATGGTATTTAATGAAATGTTTGATACCGCTACTGTAATTTTCCCTATCTTCACACACACACATAATATATATATATATACTAGGTGCAAGCAACGTACAATGCACGTTTGCTTAGTTTATATTTAATATTTTTGTTTAATAATTAATTTGTTATTAATAAATATGTAATTTTTTTTTGGTTAATTAAGAGCGTGTCTGGGGGCGCTGCAAGGAAGAGGGAAAATTGATTATGTTACCATTTTCTTTCAAACCTACAGCCCTGCGGTGAGAGAATTGGTCCAAAATTGCGGCTCCCAACTGCATGAATTGTGTTGCCAACGACTTGATTTCTGCTGAAAAGCAGAAACAGACACCATATAAATAATTAATGATATAATATTTATGTAATTGATAAATAATTAGATATGTGATTTTGAAATTGTGATGTAGGTTGGTGAGATTGAAGAAAATAAGCAAAAGTAGACAAATTTGGAGAAATGGCTAAATTGTAAGGGATCAAAGTTCAGGGGCTAAAATGTAAAACTTAAAAGTTGTGCCAAATCTCACGATGAAGATTTGAGAGTGCTCGGAGTCAATTGGATAAATGAAGATGTCAAGGGGATCAAATTTAGTCAAAAGATGATCACAAATCATTTTCCAACCGAAAAGTTATGCTACGATGTTTTAGTCTCATATTGAGACCTATTTTTGGTATAGGAATTGATCGAATTGGAGAATGATATCTGAATTAAAGTTGTATCCAGATGTGTTATCTTTCCAACGTATTTTACATTGCCTCAATAGGATATCGGAATACAAAGTTATGATAAAAACACTGAAAGAAGGTGCAGCTACCTATTTAAAATAAGAAATTCCGTTACATAGTCCGTTATATTGAGACCTATTTTTGGCATAAAAAGTAGTCGAATTGGAGAATGATATCTAAACCAAATTGTAACCAAATGAGTTAGATTTCCAACGCATTTTGAATTGTCTCAATCGGACATCGAAATACAAAGTTATGATAAAAATATTAAAAGAAGGTACAGCTGCCCGTTTAAAACAAGAATTTTTGTTACATAGTCTGTTATATTGAGACATATTTTTGGCATAGAAAGTGATCGAATTGGAGAATGATGTCTGAATAAAATTTGTAGCCAGATGTGTTAGCTTTCTAACTCATTTTGAATCGCTTCAATCGGATATCAAAATACAAAGTTATAATAAAAAAATGGAAAGAAGGTGCAGCTGCCTGTTTAAAACAAGAAATTTCGTTACATAGTCTATTATATTGAGACCTATTTTCGGTATAGAAAGTGATCCAATTGGAGAAATATGTTTAAATCAAAGTTGTATCCAGATGAGTTAACTTTTCAATGCATTTCGAATCGCCTCAATCGGATATCGAAATACAAAGTTATGATAAAAAAACTGAAAGAAGGTGCAACTGCCTGTTTAAAACAAAACATTCCGTTACATAATCCGTTATATTGAGACATATTTTTGGTATAGAAAGTGATCAAATTGGAGAATGATGCCTGAATCAAAATTGTAGCCAGATGGGTTAACTTTCCAACGCATTTTGAATCGCCTCAATCGAATATCGGAATACAAAGTTATGATAAAAACACTGAAAGAAGGTGCAGCTGCCTGTTTAAAACAAGAAATTCCGTTACATAATCCATTAGAACAACAAATTATGAGACATATTTTTGGTATAGAAAGTGATCAAATTGGAGAATGATGCCTGAATCAAAATTGTAGCCAGATGGGTTAACTTTCCAACGCATTTTGAATCGCCTCAATCGAACATCGAAATACAAAATTATGATAAAAACACTAAAAAAAGGTGTAACTGCCTGTTTAAAATAAGAAATTTTGTTACATAATCCGTTAAAATAACAAATTCCGTTAGTTTTTCCATTAAACCAACAAATTTCGTTAAATAGACACTTTTTATATATAGAAAGAAATGTCAACTCAATTTTATACTTAATATTACCATGGACACTCAATTTGATTTTATTTCACCATGACTACTCAATTTCATATAACATCTCATTATGACCACGTAATTTATTTTCACAATTTTCACTAATTTTAAAATGGGTAAAATGGTAACTTTGTATTATATAAAATAAATGTTTTTTTAAAAAATAAAAGTTGCTTTTTAATTTTAAAATAAGTTTTTATTTTATTTTTTAAGACTATTTTTTTAAATAACTTTTTATTTTATTTTTCTATTTTTTTAAACAAGTTTTTATTTAGTTTAAAAACAATTTTTTAAAACAAGTTTTTATTATATATATATAATACAAAATTATCGTTTTACCCCATTTTAAAATTAGGGTTTGTTTGATTGTAATGGTGGAAAATGGGTGGAAAGAAAATGAATTCTAGAGAAAATAATTGCCTAAAAATTATTTTACGGGGAATTGCTAATTAAATGTGTTTGATTGGTATAATTTTTCACCCGAAAATTTTTTAAATTTTGTGTTTGTTTGGTTTTGTTTACATGAAAATTGTTTATTAAAGTGATTTTTTTTTCCACAATTGGTTATAAAATTTGTTTCCATTACAAGTAAAATAAATAAATAAATTTTTTTAATCAAAATTTAGCGTTTGTTTGACTTTGTTTTATATAAAAATTATCCATTAAAGTGATTTTTCTTTTTACAATTGGTTATGAAATTTGTTTCCATTGTAAAAAAAAAAAACTTTAAATTGTATTTTCTCACCAAACTGGTGGGAAAAATGCTTTCCCTCAATTCAAGGAATAAGGGCAAGGGCAAGGGCAAGTGGGAAAATATTTTGCCTAAAAATTATTGTCTATCAAACAACCTAAAAATAAGAAATAGAATTTTTTTTCCAACTTACATGGAAAAAATGGCTTATAAAAAGGACCTTAGTGAAAATGTTGAAAAGAAGGTGAGTGCCCATGATAAATATTATATGGAATTGAGTAGTTATTGTGAAATAAAATAAAATTGGATAACCTTGTTGACGCTAAATTTCATGTTGAAATGAAATTAAATTGGTGAATTTAACCTCTGTATATATATGTATACACAGATTAAGATCCTCAACAAGAAAATTGCGTGTTATCTTAGGTTTTCCCAAAAAGAAAACTAGATGTTGGAATGGTTACTTCAGTTCTACAGAATAAATGAATAATTAATTCAATTTTACTGTTATATAATTAATTAAAAGTTAGATATCCTTCGAAATTCAAATTGAACTGTAAATCGATTCTTGAAAAGCAAAAGATACCATTTTTGTTCCTCCACAACTCCTCTCTCTCTGACAATTTCTAGCTGTAATGGATAGAAGGAGAACAGGGACCTTGATGGGCACTCTTGTAACGAAGTTAAAGCAGATATCTTTGCTGTGGCTTGAGGGTTTCAGAGAAGCTTGTTGTTTTCACCGCGTCATCACCTATTGCCTCAGGTTCCCCCCAATAAACATGTTTCTTATCGAAATTTTGATGGAAATTTCAGTTTTGTTTAATTCGTTTGTTATTTTGCCTTGTGGGCTCCTTCAATTCAAGGTCAAGAGAACTTGCCATTCGTACAGGCCAGTGTTTTCTCTTGAATGGCTTCTTTTTCTTGGGAAGGTCAGCCCCTATTCCCTGATTTTTATATGCAGTGTTCTTAAAACCCGGGCTATCCAAGCTTAAGCTTTTCCGAGCCGAGCCTATATGGGCGTAAGCGAAGCGCCCTTTAGAACACTGTCGGTATATATGCACTATTTTTCTTTAAGAAGTGGAAGGATGTAGTTTATGATTGATTATACAAGGATCAAACTTTGTGCAGTATCTTTATTCTAAGATCATTTATCATTCCGACACTACAATGGATATTGCCGGACGGATGCCCGCATATTTCTCCGGAAGAATCATGCTCATCTGGGGGTATTTTGAGATTCCATTCCTTCTTACGATTTGGGCTCGTTCAACTCTTCTACGTGAGTACAGCTTTCAGCATTATAATGGTTTATACATGATCTATTGAGCTTTGGTAGAGTGAACAAACATGTGCAACATAAGTTTGTTAAAGTTGTCATTGAGTTGTGCAAAGCCATTGGGATGTTGATGGAACGGGTTCTAACATCCAGAATGCAAACCTTCAGCTAGTATTATTAACTATTATACCTTCGGAACAACGCATAAATGATAGACAATTGGGGAAGAAAGAACAAGAAATAAAAGCCACAACTAGATTATGAGTCCAAGTTCCCTACAATCAAGTAATTTGGCAACTTTGGATCATGTGAAAATAAGGGTAGTTTATTTTCTGGAATGCATGGACTAAATAGTAGCAGTGGAAACGTCTTTTTGCACTGGATTTTTCCATGAGCAGTAATTGGAAGGTAGGGGGAAGATATGATAAAAGCAACAAAGGTGATGCGAATCCCTTCCTGTTACTGAAATGTGAAAAAAAGCTAATGCATGATATTAAGTAATAGAAATTAAGTAAATATTTGCTCACATGCTGCCACGGAATTATCTTTTAGAGCTATGCTATAATTTTCTTTCCTCATTTTGATAGATTATGTAATTGATTTCCTTCGGGATTTGCTTATTAGTACAAGCTCTTTATTGAGTTGTTTATTGGGATTTTCATCCTTGTTTTTCTGGCTACGACTACCTATCACATGTAATTGTTTCTTGGATATTATTTTGTTCTTTTTTGAGGATTTGTGTATTTGCTGTTTGATAAAAGTCTCTTTCTCTGTCTGTTTATATCTATATATCTTAATTATTTAGCATGCTTTATGTGGAATTTTAAATTGTTTTAATGAGCTCGAATAACGTTGTTTACAGGTATTCTGGTTCTACCCTTTGTACATATTCAGCTTTATTTTAAACACCATTTGGTATTGCCTTTTCCTTTCTCCCGAGTTAGTTTTGTTTATGTATTATTGTTTTTTGTTGTGTATCTTACCGGGTCGATGATAGTTACACTTCTCACTGATAATGTAGTAGTTGGCCGGCGTTGAAAAGTAGAACAATACTATTCGATAGAATGACCTGAAATTCCTTGGATTTATTGATAGAGAAGGACATGAAGTCCGAGGAAATTAGATAACACTCCAATATGTTTAACACACTATCTATACCTAAATGTAAGTTTCAAGTTTGGAATCGCTTTAACTTGTTTTTCCTTATACATGTCTATGCATAATATTGGTGCATATGGAGGGGAAAGGGAGTGGTAGGATCGCCAAAATACCTGGAAAGAAAACAAAATCTTATTAAATATTTTGAGGTTGGTTCTTTAACAAGGCTTGGTCTTAAGACAAACTTGTTTATATTCATGAGTGGAAGAAATAATCATCCTTCTTCTTAATGTTGAATTTCTACAAGTTAAGAATTGACCATTATTGAGAAGGATTTCCAATGCCACCAGTAAATCTTCTTTTATGATTTGACTCGTTCATGTTGAATAGAGTTTTCAGTATGCAATTAATGCTGTAAACAGAAGTGATAGGGAAAGAAATGGATTTAGTTTCGAAAGGCAATATTTAGTTATCAGTTGTCATTACAGACTAGAATTAATTATTTCATCACCAGTACATATTAGGCAATTCATGAAATGTTTCCTAAAGTTTAAGCAGTATTTGGAGTCCTTTCTTTATTTGAACAATCAATCTTAAATTTTTAACCAACCCAAGCCTGAATAGTGAAATTGAACCTAATGCAGAAGTAAAGAGTTGGTTTCGACAAGCCTTAGCGATGCCAAAGCTGAATGCCCAGCAATAAGTGTCGCACTTAGAGCCTGTTGGTTGCACATTAAAATGAGAGAATGCATTTTTTTGAAGTGATGTGATGAGGAATAAGTGGTTGAAAATGAAGGAAAAGTTATTGATGTAATTAAAAATATTATTTTATTAAAGAATGTGTGGTTGAAAATGAGTAGAAGAATGAGAATTAAACAAATAATGTGGGTCAAACATGGGCTTAATGTGTTTCCTTCCTTTTGTTAATGGCTTCACTATAAATAAAAGATTGATGTAAACACACGTATAATGGTTCTCGCACTTGTAAAAATTTTAGTTTCGGTGCATGTTGCATGTATACATGAAGTTTTTCCCCTGTTCTTCAACTAGAGCTGTAAATAAGTCTTGGGAACTGTAATTGTTAGTCTACTCTTGATCAAAATCACATGACTAAGCTTTTGATGCACCACCTAAAGAAGATAGAGATTTTTATGGAATCACTGTTGTTTCTTGGTCACTTCTTTTTCGTTTAAAGATTCCATAATTTATATTACTATCCACCGGATGGTACTTTCATCATCAAATCTGACTTTATGGTTTAATTTAGGTATAACGACATTGCAAAGTATGGGTTTTTTGCAATTGAGATGGGGTACTCGGGGACGAAATCATTTAGCCAAAATAACTTACCTGCTGAACAGAATACAACTGATAGGGATGGCAAAGCAACTGATTTTGAGGGGTACGTCTCAAATTGATATTGTCTAGTATTATCCCATTATAGTAGTATCATTTGAATAAATTGATTTCTTATAAGGTTTTAAGATTATGTATGCAAAATTCATCTGCTCTATATCCTTATTTTCAGTGTAATGATTGGAATAGCTGAACAGGTCTATTCAATTCTGCTGTTGAGTTTCTTCTTCCTGGAGGTAAAAATTACTGTATAGCGTTTACTCGTTTCTTATGATTGACTGCTGATTCTACCCTTGTATGGATTAGATAATCATTAACTTGCTTTGTATACAGGTATATGTTACTGGATTTATCCCTTACATTGGGAAGGCATTAAATTTTCTACTTCTTTCATGGATGTATGCTTATTATTGTTTTGAGTGAGTAGTGACGTCGAAGCTCTATTACTCAATACGTTGAATGCTCTTTGGACAAGACATATTCATTGAAACTTCTCTCATTTTATAGGTACAAATGGAATTTTTCTGGTCTTAGTTTGGATAAGAGATTGGACTTCTTCGAATCCAACTGGGCATTTTTTGCGGGTTTTGGTGAGAATCTCACAATGGGCTTCACCTGGGGTCCTGTAATTTTAAGTGGATTCAACTCGATGTTTGGAACAGTTTTTCAAATTGACAGTAACAACTCATTGTTGGAACAACATTGAGTGGTTATGGATGATCACAATTGCAACAAGTCAACAATATTAAACTAAGCCTCATTCAAATAACTGAAAACTTGCATGTTCAATCATTAGCTTCACATTTTTTTGGGAAGTTTCAATGCTTCTCTAAAGGAAAATACCGCTCACTTCATCTTTTCAGGAGGTCCCTGTGTTCTGGCAATATTCCTGTACTCTCCCCTTGTTAGCTATGGAGTTATGGCTATACTTTATCCATTGGTAAGTATCAGGTCCCTCTGTCTTGGACTTTTTTCTGTGTCTGTTTGTCATGTCTTAATGTTAAATTTTTTTTGATGTTGCTCGTCATATGAATTAAGATTATTTACTATGGTTCGTCTAATTTCTAGAAATTATAGCATGATGCCTTTTTATTTGGTGATAACTGTGGCTTTTTCTAGTTTGTTATGACTGCAACAGGCACAGAAGCAGACAAATTGATTACGTCTCAAAGAAAGAAATGGAAAGGTGCAGGATTCGGGAGGATTCCGATATTTGTTTCTGCAGATTATTTATCGTAAGCCATCTTCATTTTCCTCTATTCTTTTGTTACTTCTATAAAAGTGGTTTCTTGATGGTTTCATTATAATTAAATGGTTGAGGATACTGATTTCTGTCTTCATTGTCCTGCACTCAAGGATGAAAGTCTTGTCGCTCTTTCCTGTTGATGCTCGTCATCAGCAAGTGCAAAGCACAAAAGCACTCTGAGAATTGGATCGACGTGCTTCTCCTTGCACAAATGGTAACTGTGATTTGCAAATATCTGTCCAGTTTCAACATAGAATGTCTCATTTTTTCCTTTTTGATTCAGGTTTTAACCAGTATAGAATGTTGTTTTTTGAAGTTGTGCAGTTGATTCAAATCTTGAAAGACATAACGGAGGTGAAAGCAACCAGCAGATTGGAAGTCTTTTGTACATAGAGAACAAAGCAACCAGTTTAATACATTTCTTTATTATTGAAATTTTGTATTTTTTTTACCAAAATATTTTAATCGTATGGATGTTCTAAGATAATTAACTAAAGTTGAAACTGTTTTGGTATTTTCGTTACTTTAGCTCGATTCTATTAATGATGTCGATTCTACTCTTCAAATTTACTCGTGAAATGGCATCTCAATATAAATGCGATAATGAAATAATTGACTTGTTTAAGAATAAGTAAGGGTTCGTTTGATTGCAAATGTGGAATTTGAGTGGAAAGAAAATGAATTATATGGAATTGAATTGTCTAGAAATTGTTTTACTGGAAATTGTAATTAATTGTGTTTGATTGATATAATTTTTCACCTAGAAAATGTTGAAAGCTTGGTGTTCGTTTGACTTTGATTTTTATGAAAACTGATAATTTTTATTCATTTGGTCTAGAATTTGTTTTCATTGCTAAAAAAAAAATGCTAAACGGGAAAATCAATCCCCACCAAAATCTTAAATCATGGAAAATGGCAAGTGAAAGACAAAATCAAGAAAAACATTTGCCTGAAAAAAAGTGTATCAAACATGCAAAAAATGGAAGAAGGAATTTCTTTTGGGGTACTTACAAAAATACCCTTAAAATTAGGGGATTTTTGAAAAATCATGTGAAAGATTTTTAGGAAGTAAAAAATACTGTGTAAAATGAAAAAGTGACACAATGTCACTTTTTTATAAAAATTGTCACTTTTTAAAAAAAGTGACAAACTTAAAAAAAGTAACAAACACAATAAAAAAATGACACAAATTCAAATACCAAAATAGACTCATCCATTGCATGCTGATTATGTATTCAAAAAAAGTGACAAACACACTCAAAAAGTGACACAAAACAAAGCTCAAAAAAAGTGACAAACACACTCAAAAAGTGACACAAATTCAAAAAAAGTGACAAAGCTCAAAAGAAGTGACAAACACACTCAAAAAGTGACAAAGCTAAAAAAAAGTGACAAACACACTCAAAAAGTGACACAAAAACAAATACCAAAATAGACTCATCCATTGCATGCTGATTATGCATTCAAAAAAAGTGACAAACACGCTCAAAAAGTGACAAAACAAAACTCAAAAAAAAAAGTGACAAACACATGCAAAAAGTGACACAAATTCAAAAAAAGTGACATAAATTATTTGGCATTTTAGCCTCCAGTTCGAAATAAATTTATATCTTATCATGTTAAGTGCTATTTGTATCAATTTCCCCATAGTATAAGTTAATGGGCTGTATTACGCAGAATATATTGAGCTGGAAGGCCCATTACTCTATGGACTATGGAGTTGTGGACGTGGAAAAATCACATCGGGGTACTTACAAAAATACCTTTAAAATTAAAGATGTTTTGAAAAATCATATGAAAAATTTTTAGGAAGTAAAAAATACTGTGTAAAATGAAAAAGTGACATAATGTCACTTTTTTTATAAAAATTGTCACTTTTTTACTTTTTTAAAAAAAGTGACATAAATTCAAAAAAAATTGACAAAGTCACAAAACAAAAAAAAAAAATACACTCTTAAAAAGTGATACAAACACAAAAAAATGAAACAAACTCAAAAAAAATGACAAATATCAAAATAGCACCAATCCACGTGCTAATTAAAAAGTGACGTTTGTTAATAAAAAAGTGACAAATTTGTAAAAAGTGATAGGAAAAAAGTGATAAACAATAAAAAAATGTGATAGAAAAAAGTGACAAAACATTAAAAAGTGACATGAATTTAAAAAAAGTGACAAAAGTTTTTAAAAAAAAAATTGCAAACATTCGAAAAAGTGACAAAACACCAATCGAAAAAGTGACAAACCATTCATTCACACCTCTTCTTCTCATCTAACCCCCAGTTCTCTCTCTAATTTCCAACCAAAATTCAATCAAAATTGCTAGAAAACAAAAATAAGTACTTCTCTCTTCAAAAATCTTGATAACCAAAATCATTCTACAAATATTGATTTATTAGAAATCACAATGTATAAATGCTCATATTCTAAAATAAACAATGCATCAAATCCATTCAATTTATTTAGTTAGCGTACAATAACTTTACAACTGATAAACTATTATGATACTACAAGAAGATTACTTATTGAAAACATATATATGCAAGCACCTCATACAAGATTAGTTGGATGATAACTACAAATTGCATTTCACTTTCACAATCCTTATACATTTAAAGCATAAATACAGAAATTTTTCTTTGAATTTTGTGGTGATATCCATGTCTTCCCCCTTGATTTTAATTTTTGCAATAGAATTAAGATTTGTATTTTTGTTGGGTTTGCTGTTGCAGTTTTGTTTTAGAGGACCTGTTCTACAAATCAAATCGGAGTACCTAAACTTCAATTTTTATTCGGGACCTAATATGCAATTAAGCCACAAGGGATCAAACTTCACCATCTTCAATATTGAAGGACCCGCACTGCAAATTAACCAAAATTAGAAAAGAGGAGAAGAGGAGGACGTATGCGCCGTGACGGTGGGCGCACTGCTGTTGTGCCTTCAAAGACTAGTATATGCAACATTGCCAATGAGATCCTTAATCTCAACTTGTATGGATCTCACCCTTTCTGCATGGACGTTCGGCCCCCTCGTGGGACCAATCATGGAGTTTTATTGCTCAACAGCAAAGGGATGAATACTGTGTACATAGGGTTTAATGGATTGAATGAATAGGAAGTGAAAGGCAGGTTTAATGGTGGTTGTAAATGATATATTCATTTGAAAGTATATTTTACTGTTAGTTAAAAAGATTAATGAAATTTATCTTTTAAGTGTATTATTCAATTTTAGTGATTTTGGGCCGTATAGGGCCTAATTTCCTCATTTCTTTTCCATTTTTCATGGAAAACTTGGGTCAATCAAACAGTGCCTAAATCTTACTTAGTCATTGTTTAGTTCTTATTGTTTCAAAAATACATTTTTATTTTCAATCACACATTCTTAAAAAAATAAAATACAAATTCAAAACTTTACATTATTTTAAAAATACTATTTCAAAATATATTTTCGTAAAAAAAAAAATGGAGCACAAATATCCAATGAATAAACTATAAAGGAAAGGGAAAAGAAAAATCCAAGTACATTACCTTCTCAGATGTAAGAGGGATGGGAGCCGCTATAGGTTCAACTAAACCGGACCGGGTTTTTTCTCCAACCTCAACGGCTCAACCTGTAATATAACGACAATGGAAGATTGACTCAATGTACTTTCTCACTCTTCAGAACTTCAGAGTTTTCGTTGAAAACAAATTCTTTGATATTCGCGCCATCGAAGCCCTAACCCTAACCCTAACCCTAATTCCAATCTAATTACCAAAATTTTGTTCTACGATTCATGACAGTGTTTGAATAAAGAGAGCAATGGATCATAATCTGTTCGACAGACGCCCGATAACCAAGTCGAAAGCCCCTGCTGTTAAATGGGTCAAAGAATGGTATAGCAAAAATTCCCGAAATTTTTCTTCTTTTTGTTAATATTTGTGCTTTTCTGCATAAACTGCCCCTTGATATCTGATACATGGTTTTTGATAATTTTTAGATACTGATGCACATAGAATTGGTGAATTGGTCTTTAGGCCTTTTGAGTTCATTGTTGATTTTGTTTTGGTTTTTTATGTGATGTTGATATTTTGGTTTAATTTCTGAATGATGGATCTAAAACCCGTAATAGAATTGTCTCATTGCTGATTTTGTTCCTTTTTTTTTTTGGTCTTGCTGATGGACGAGAAAAGAATGGTGGCCCGTAAAATTGACGAACTTTTTTTTGATGAAGTCAAGAATTATATGGTTAATCTTTTCTATAAGTAAAAAAGTGATACTAATTGGTATGCAAATAACTTTTTAAAGAATTTATCTTTTCACGGCAACTCTTCCCCATAAATTTTGAAGTCAAGAAGTTGCAGAAGGATAAAAAACAAGAAATCGGATTGTCATATGAAATGTTTCAAATTGCCTCTGTACCATGCACTAACACCATTGTGTTTGGGATTTAGCATTCCTGGCAATTCTGGTGTCAAATGAGCCCATTTATAGTTTAATTTCATATAAGCTGGATACTCTTGTATCTTTTCATTCGTTATGTCATTTTTAGATTATGTATTAGTTAACTTAACATTATGTGAATAGTTCACCACATTGATATTGAACATATTTGGAAGAGGAAGCGATATTTATGGATAAACAACCATGAATGCAAGCCTGTCACGTCAAAGGGATTAACTAATGTTTCATGAAGACATTCGTATTAAAACTGACGGATAAATGGATTACACGGTTGGTTTGTGAACCTCAATATATATGACCAGCTGTCTATGTGCAGTGTGGTACAAAATTTGTTTGGCTGGACGAGAGTGACCTGTGTTGCAGTGTTTCTCGACAGCTCTTCCCTCATTTAAAGTTTGAATCCTATAAGCAAGAAATACAACTCCCAAGCTTTTAGATGCAGATTTCTCCTAACATGTTTATATATGTTTTACCAACCTGTTCATTAACCTGCTTTTTTTGTTCTAGGGTGCCACAAGATGTTGTATCAACTGGTGGAAGGTGCTTACTTTTTAAATGGGTCAACGGTTAGTTCTATAAGCTTTCTGCCTTTTGTTCGGGATAATTTTAGCAGATAATGATGCCATTGATCAATAAATTGAAAACTGTAGTGGTAGACGAGGATGTATTTTTGCATAGTGGTTTATTCTGTTATTGACAATCACCTATTTTGGTGACTGGTTGACGTTAACTGGGGCGA